TACCCTTCATCCTGTCCCTACACTCCCTGATAAAGAGTCCCTCCCCACCTTTCCCATCGGCCACCTTTAAGTACTGAAGGCCACCGTAAGGTCTCCCCGGAGCCTTCTCTTCTCCAGGCTGAACAACACCAGCTCTGTCACCCTGCCCTCATAAGGGAGGAGCTCCAGCTCCCTGATACCATTATGATCCTCCTTTGGACTCACACTAACGGGTCCATGACTTTCTTGTATTGGGGGCCCCAGAGCTGGACACAGGACTCCAGGTGAGGTCTCAGGAGAGCAGAGTAGAGGGGGAGAATCCCCTCCCTTGACCTGCTGGCCACACTGCTCTTGATGCAGCGAAGGATGCGGTTGGTTTTCTGGGCTGTGAGCACACATTGCTGGCTCATAGTCAGTTTTCCATCCACTGCTACCCCCAAGTCCTTCTCTGCAGGGCTGCTCTCAATCCACTCTCGGTGCAACCTGTATTTGTGCATGGAATTGCCCCGACCGATGTGCAGGACCTTGCACTTGGCCTTGTTGAACTTCATGAGGTTTACACCGGCCCACCTCTCCAGCCTGTCAAGGTCCCCCTGGATGGCATCCCTGCCCTCCAGCACGTCGACCGCACCACACAGCTTGGTGTCGTCAGCAAACTTGCTGAGAGTGCACTCAATCCCACTGTCCACGGCATCAACAAAGATCTTAAACAGCACTGGTCCCAACACCAACCCCTGAGGAATGCCCCTCATCACTGCCCTCTGCTTGGACACTGAACCGTTGACCACAACTTGAGTGCAACCATCCAGCCCATTCCTTATCCACTGAGTGCTCCGTCCATCAAATCCATGTCTCTCCAATTTAGAAACAAGGATGTCATGCAGGACAGTGTCAAAAGACTTGCATCCTAGCATCATCCCTGGCTACCTGGCCAGTTATTCTGCATTCCTCCCAGGCTACCTGTCCTTGCTTCCATCCTCTGGAGGCTTCATTTTTATATTTGAGCTTGCCCAAGTTCCTTGTTCATCCGTGCAAATCTTCTGGTGTTCTTACCCAACGTCCTCTTTGTTGGGATGCATCACTCCTGAGCTTGGAGGAGGTGATCCTTGAATATCAACCAGCTGTCTTGGGCCCCTCTCCCCTCCAGGGCTTTATCAAATGTTATTCAGCCAAGCAGATCCCTGAAGAGGCCAAAGCCTGCTCTTCTGAAGTCCAGGGTAGCGAGCTTGCTGCATGCCCTCCGGACTAGCCTAAGGACCTTGAACTCCACCATTTCATGTTCACTGCAGCCAAGGCTTCACACTCCCCACCAGGCCATCCTTCTTGGTGAGAACAAGGTCCAGCATAGAACCTCTCCTCGTTAGCTCCTCTATCACTTAGAGAAGGAAGTTATCATCAGTGCATTGCAGGAACCTCATGGATTGCTTATGCACTATGTTCTCTTCAGTCTGGAAAAGAGATAACTCAAAGAGGATATGATAAATTTCTAGAAATTCAGGAGTCATTTGAAATGAATGACTAGGGATTAAATATTCACTGACTTTTCAATATAAGAACTGGAAGGTATCAAATAAAATAGTAAAAGGCCAAATTCAAAACAAGCAGAGGAATTATTTGTTCCATGTGTAGTTGCTATGACAACTCCTTACCAATGGATAGTTAAAGATCTTAGAAGTTTTTACGGGGTAGACTGTAGAATTTCATGGAAAATAAGTCCACTGAGGTTTATTTCATACATAGAGAACCATGGCTAGCTGAGGAAGTTTCCAAACTGGAAAGAGCTGGAGGTTTGCTAAGTATATACAGAAAGCATCATATATGCTTGCAGTGTTTTTACTGTTCTCTAGGCATCTGATTTCCACCACTGTCAAGTGACTCAACGTGATTATTCTTTTGCTGAATAGGCAATTGCTGCATCCAGTGATGTCAGATACTTAACAAACATTTCCTAACTTAAAAAGTAGGCTACACTTAAGTATAAAGGGACTTTTCTATACAACAGATCCTTCTATGCAAATTTTAGTACCACACCCTGTGTTTGTGCACTTGAGACTGAAAATAGACTCCTAATTGTACACTGATAAAAGATTACACAGAAGCTGGCAGGGCCCCAAAAGGCCACCTAAGCTCAGGTAAGTGCCCTGACAGACTGCCTTTTTTAGGCAATCTCTGCGTTCCAAAAGCATGCCCACCCTGTGACTTATAACATTAGCCACAGCATGGGAAAGTCATCCTTTACACAGCTTATCTGAAAAGCTTAGAGATGATAATGATCTGGGAGAGGGGAACAGCATCTTGTTAAAAGATTTCTGGAGATGAGCAAAAGAGTACAATGCTGACTAGGAACAGAAGCAGGCAAAGATCATCCTCCAAGATAGAGGCTCTACAAGAACACTTCTGACAGCTTTCACGGCATCTGGCACCCAAGGACTTTTTTGTTTCTCCACTAAAGTAAGCTCCAAAACCAGTCATGAGTGAAGTCCAAGAGAATATGTACTCCAGATGCGTCAAAAAGCATTGCTGAATCCCCCAGTCCTACCTTGCAGATCCTACCTTTCCAATGTTCTGTACTCATCTTACCTAAGACATGGCATTTAGCAAGTCTTTCTCACAGAGTTAAACTGCTACTCTTCTGTTCCTTCTGACTCTTTAACCCAAAATGAGCTGGGAAAAAAAAAGAGCTGAAACTGCAGTGTGGTGAGAAGAATGGAGACTATTTGGGTGGCAGCTGTGGCATTCAGTGTGGTGTGGGAGCAAGTTATTAATCCTATTTTCAGTGCTCGCATTTCTATTTTCACTATATTTAATGCTTATTTTAAAAGTCACAGTTATGAAAGCACTTGAGAAAGTCTGAATGCTGGTTTTCTTTTCTTTTTTTCCCCAGTTTGTTTCCAGCTACCATGATTGCCGGTAAAAAGAACTGATCCCACAGACTTTGCAACCTGAAAATTCAGAAAACATACACACTTCCTTTCTTAACATATCAGTTCTTAGTCACAAGGATTTTTAATGCTTTGAGTTAATAATATTGATTTATACTCCTCTCAGCTGCTTCTTCCCACAGCAGACAATTTTACTCACACTGCTGTTACTTGTTTTCTTTTCAACACATACCAACTCATGCTATAACTCACTAGCTGTCAGTGTTTTAAAAGAAAGATTAGCAGTGCCAGCTACACCTCAGGAAAAACATTTGCACTCCTCACAGCTCTAGTGTTTATTATAAACTACAGAAAAAGTGGTGCATTACATTATCCATGTCCCTCTTGTTTCTGCAGGGCTTCACTACACTGACAACTGACAGTTGCATGCTTGTTTAAAAACCGCAGTAAGAAATAACTATTCTGAAGACATTGCATATATAATCATCACAATAACTAAGTTTAATACATAAACTATTTCTTTACTAATTTGTATTTTGAGAAAACAACTCATAGTTTAACAAAAAAAAAAAAAGCAATACTAATCTAGTTAAGAAAGATGTATTTTAGGACCACTTAATAAAGTAGAAAAATGAGAAGCTAAATTCTGAACGCTACTTGTCAAACAATTTGAATTTACATATGAGCCTACAATTCATTATGACACAAAGCTATTATCTCAGGAGCCCAGAAAAGTTTGCCTTAAAATTATAGATGAAGATTGAAAGGAAGACGTTACTCAATTTAAACTCCTTATTCCCAGGTCCCATTATTTGTTGAGCTTTTAATACAATGCTCATAAGGAAAAATAACTGTAAATCTAGTAAAATATCATGGCTTTGATATTTCTCTTACTATTTATATAGCATTTTACTAAAGTGTCTTTGAAGGCTATACAATGCAAGAGCAGCCTGAACCTAGAAATACTCAGATAGGCTGAAGAAATGTTAATCAACAGACATTCAGAAGAACAGAAACAACTTAATCTTTGTTTCTTTCCCATGTGTATTATCACAGAAAACAGGGAGACAAGTAAAAAGGAAAGGGAGAAATTATTTTTGTATTTGGCAAGAGAAAGAATAGATTGTTCAGCATAGCCAATCTGGTTACTTTCATTAACTGCCTTTAACAATAGCAGCACAGAACGCCTCCTTCCAACAATTCTCCAGGAATTACTAAGCTTGTGATAAATTGTATAGGATAACTAAATGTCCTCAAACTAGTTTAGATGCTGGAGCAGCCAAGAAAGCTCCCTACTTTTAAGAATAACCTTAATGTGATTTAATGTTTTATGTTTTGAAACTTTGTTCCACTCATAAAAACTATTTTCTTCTTAAATCTTACCTGACAATAGAGCTGAGTAATTTGCCATACATGGGGCATCCCACTCCTACCAATGTGGCAATCTTTAAAACTGTGATCCTGCACCAAACTCCCAGAGCCTGGTGCTCCAGTAAAAGTAGGACAGATCACTATGATATAGCAGGACAATACAGCAATACCTGACCCTTGCAGTTCTAATGAAATTAATAGCAAGTATAGTGTTATAATTTTACTTGCTAATATGAGACATTTTGACAAACTCTAAACATTTACTTCTAGGTGAATGTTCCAAATGCAGTGTTCTAGGCATATGCTTTTGTCTGGTAGAGGAAAGAGACATTCTGATTCTTTAATGCAGTTGAAGGAACAAATTTTTCTCTGCTCTCAAATTGTTAACTCTGGAAAATTCACACTTCTTTTGCAGGGGAGGAGGATAGGAGAAATCTCAACCATTTCCTACTATCAAATATTCAAATAGAGCAAGTGCTTTAAAAAGTATTTTTTAAAACTAAGAAAAATAATTAAGGGCTCAAAGGACTGTTTTTACACATGCAAAGGACAGACAAGTTAATAACCTATCTGTCCTCTATATTGCTTTGAATTTTTAATCTAAATTATTTAATTTCAGTGATTTACTACTTAGAAATTTTGTCAACCATTTAAAATTTTTATTTGGTAAGCGCATAAAAGTAGGTCACTGAAAACAAGCTTATACACAGTAATACACAGACACATCAGAGGATTAATATATAAAAATCAAGAGACGAAAAAACTGACCTGCTGCTGCTGGTGTTTGTTTAGTAGGGCTAAAAATAAGATGTAACATCTGGAGCAGTCTGCTAAAGCTGCACAGAAGTCATTGTAGGAAGAAAGTTTGCTACAAAAAGGTACAAAAATAAGATATAAATGAATGAAAGCACTTTTTTCCACAAAAGATTTTTTTAAAAAAATCCCTCTGCTTTTCACTCTCAGAGCTGTATTTTCCAACAAATTAAATGAATGCCAATACTCTGACTTCTAGTAGAGGCATACGCAGTTACATAAAAGCACAACAGAAGTCTAGCTATCCTTGCCGCAGTGAATTACGGGAAGAAGTGAACATAAGGAGCTTCCCAACCGGCTTGCCATATGGGCACAGTATGCTAGCGCTAGCACTTCTTAGCGTTAAAGGAGAACTGTCATTTCAAGATGACATGGGAAGTCTGACAGGAGAGAAATAAAGGGTCCCATTCTAACGCATGTCTAGTAGAGCCCAACAACAGCACCAACAGAACACACCTCACCAGCAAACATGGAGAACACACCTTCTTGCAGTTTTGATTTTATCTCTGTGTATTCCCTAACAGCTGCTCTCGTCCTACACTGTTCACCTCGACCATTACAAAAATTGAGAAGTGGACATGTTTTGGTCATAGCAGAAATACTGCCATAACAGAAAAATCTAGGGTAACCTCATACTTGTCATGTAGTCAAAACCAGCCAATATCTCTGTTGATGTTCAATTACAGCAAGATTTACAGATTTAAAGAAATTAATAATCTGAACAGATTGAACATATTCTCTACAAGGAAGCTGCCTAAAGTTACTGACTGAGAGAAAAGAACAATCATTCTGTATTACTAGAAGACAAAAAAAAATCCAAATCTGTGCTCTGTACTGCATAGTATAATTTTTTTTTTCATGACTGCAATTTCCAGGAAGCTAATTAAATTGATTTTGTGGCTAATTTGTATCCCTTGAGCATGCAGTTCACTAAACTTAAGAAAAAAATTGAAGTAGTGGGAAACTTTGAAAAGACAAATTACTTTTTCCCCATATTGAATTCTAGATTGCGTACAAGACCAAGTAAAAGAAATTCTCTCTCCTTAGAAGAAGTGAATATACTCAAAGTGCTGTAATTATTACTAAAACTCAACATTTTTTAGGAACAAAACTAGAGAGACAGATGCAGACAAGGTGGCATGGAATTGGGAAAGTAATTCACATGCTTTGCAGGTAGCACAAATTGCAAAGCACCAGATTTGCCTGGTTTTAGCTGTGGAAAGAATGGCAGTCCCTTATGTAGCTACTCTTCAAAGCACATCCCAATCTCATCTACCAAGGAGAATGTGATGGATAATTTGGAGGGGATGAACAGGAAGAGAAATCCATAGCAGAATCTCAATGAACATGGAGCCATAGGCAACGTGACTCAATACAATAACAAAGCAGCAGTGGCAAATACTTCATCCAGAATGGCATTCATAAATTGCGCTTATAACCTAACTCCTCCTGAAATTACCAACAGTTAATTTCACAACTTCAAAAACCTTTAAATTGTTTGCAAATCCGCTTAGCACTGGATATCGCAAGCTGGTGCTGGGTAACTGGAATATTTTTGACTGAGAATTTTTGATTCAGACTACAAAAGGATCTTTCTGGGTGATTCACTCACCCTGATCTCCCTCTAAAAAGCACATCTTAGGAAGGAGGCACTGAGCTGCTCATAAAACCGAGATTCTTTCAGCACTTCCATCTGCACACTCAAGCCTTGATCCCACAGATTAATCTCCTGAAACACTCTGTGACAGCTCAAAACAATGAACACTGATCACATTTTCTCTCTTTTGTATTTTATTTTTCAATCACATTCCCCAATATAAATCAAGCTTGCATAATTTCTCTCACTCGTTTTTTTAAACATGGACTAAAATAGGATTAGTAAATACTTAATAATTCATGCATCTTTAAAATACAAGAAACGGTACTTCAAAAATCTTAATCAGAATCTGTGGGATCAAAGAATGACACAATACAAGAAAATATTTTTCACAGTTTTTATGGCCACAATTAGACAATTATATCAGTATTAATAAAGACATAATTATCATACAATATCATTAAAAACTACACAGAGCTTTTAAAAAATAAATTCAATGTAAATTTTCCAATTTTAGTCCCTGATTGCTGTCTTCTCTGAGGTCACTCGAAGCAGTAACACTGACTGCATGCAGAAATAGCACTGTGTTCTATACATACCTGAATATCCTGACAATATAGGTGCATACATCCTTATCATTCATACGCTGCTCTAGCGCCACACAGAGCTCAGAGACTGCACCACTGCTAATGAGTTGGCGTCTTGCCGGAGGTAAGTCAGCCAAGTTTCGCAAAGTAGCTGTCAGCTGCATATAGAATATTTAAAAATTTATTAATCACAGTCATCTACAACAGAATCCACACTGTTTTGAAAATTTAATAAAGCTCAGATCTCATTTATAACATCTAAAGCAGTCTGAATGCCCTGTTAACATTCTGTATAAATTATAACAGCAAATGTGCAAGTAACAGAATTGTGTATATTGAAATAATTGTTTGAAAATGAAAGATTGACACTGGTCTTTGCCTTTATGTAAACTCCTCCTTTGAGGGAAACATGATCTTTCATATGTTTTAAAATCTTGAATGCATGTATACAACCATATACCAATTGGAAATTAGGTGAAGTCCTGTGGATAAAGTGATTTTTTGTGTAAGGTCTGATTGGGCAAATTTACATTTAAGTCTTGCAAATTAATACTGATATATAATAGATTTTTTTGATAATAACTATAGGTTGCAAACTATGTTGGATTGATCTTAAAACACAATAACATTTATTTTGTTTAAAAAATGTAAAAGTTATTGAAGATCAAGAGAAATCCACTATTTGAACAGTATAAAAAATGACAAGCTTAAGTCCTCAAATTCATTTTGGAGAAACCAAAATATTTTCAGAAGATACCGTTTTATTTCAAGAAGTTTTAAGCATAAAATATCTACCACTTGTAGATATGCAAAATGAATCAGCTATTGCAGATTTTGAAATGTTCTGGTCCTCTTCCAAGGTAAGGGTATTCAAATGACAAGGTCAGACAGGCAATGACATGTAGGTTAACTGTTGATCTAAACCAGAACTTACTATAATATTAATGTGAAGTAATTTAATCTAATGTGAATATGGGAATTCTTCAAATTAACCTTAATCTAAGAGTAAGGTATTTAACTTCAATTTGGTTTTAAATGTAGTTTGGTATAGCACAAAGACTATCAATGCAAATTGTTTGTAATCACAAAACTCTATAAATTAAGTATTTTATCACTGAATTGGACTGCTTGTCCAATGATAATGTAACTACCAGTTTTAAAGGAAAAATGTGACAAAAAGCAGGTTAAGTTGTGCCTGAGGAGCATTTGCTCATAGAATTCTGTGCACTACTCTGTCCATTCTCCAGCAGCTTTCATATTTGCTGTCCTACTTCAACAAATTTGACAAAAGTGTACATGTCTTCAGTTACCACACGATGTTCTGTAATGGAACAATAGGAGAAGGAACAGTGCGTCAAAATGGAGAAGCAAGGTACAGAGAGAAAAAAATTATGTGAAAATGTGCATGTGATATGTGAATAGATTTTACTTCAGCACTAAATATGAAATGTATGATATATCCAGAATAAACAGAAACTGAGCCTATGGAAGCTGTTTGCTTTATATTGCTTATATTTTACAAAGGCACCTGGAGTTTTTTGTTATTTCAACTAAACAACTGCAGAAAATACTTTTCCAGATATGCATTGTTTCACAAGTCACAATGCTTCAAAAATCAACACAATACTGAAGAAATATTTTAAAATAAAAATATTCTGATCAAGTACTTTTTGCTATTCAAAAGTTTTGGTGGAAAAATTCTTGCCAAATGGAATAGACACAGAAGACTCCATTCAGCGCTCACATACGAGATGTTCGCAGTCAGCCTAGGAAGATACTTGTTGAGCTCTACCTAAACTTCACAATAAAGAAAATGAAGGATAAGTCACATATTAGAAGTGTTGTTCAGACCCAGACCAGCACTTTCACTGCAGCAAAGAGGGTTACATATTAGATGATTTAAAAAAAAAAAAAAAATCTTTATCAATAGATAATGGTGCAGAGGTCTCCAAAAGGAGTAAAATTTTTCACTGCCTGAGACAGTTAGACAGTTCAAAATCCTCCAGGAGTAAATTCTATCAAGAGGCATCCTCACACAAAGACAGGTTGGAAATGAAAGGCAATGCAAAATTAACATGTACACTTAAATGTGCGAAACAATTAAATTCAGAAGTTCATACTCACAAAAGAACAGCTAGTACACACGTGAATTTTGAAGAGTACAGATTAAAAAATAATGGAAGCTAGTCAGACAGCAGATGAATTCAAGAGATATTCTGATTGCTTCAGACACCATGATTCAGGGAGAAATGCGTAATAATTGGCTCTAGCAATCTCCACCAGCCCTAATCCTTATGTTGCCGCATAAAAGATCAAATTCATCCAAACAGAAAATCTAACAGCAGACAAATGCTGTTTTTAAAGAAGACATTTAAGTGCTTTTCAGTTAAGGAACATGGAGTACTTGTTAAGTCTTGTCAGTGACACTTCAAAAGCCTTGTCTTTTGCATAAGCGTTACCATATTCCGTATAAATATACTCAGACTATTAAGTGAAGCAACATAAAATGAGTCAAAGATGACCCTGGTTTCATGTCCTCTAATAAGGAAAATTAATTATTAATACAAACATTTTTATCCTTGTACTGCGGGACTTCTGTATAAAATCCATGGTGTAACAAAGAAGAAGTCAGAGAGGGAGTATATTACCACAAAAAGGACCTGTCAAGATTATGTAAAACACTGCCATCTGGTGATTGTGCAATTATATGCTTAAAGAATGAAGAGTTGGTCCCAGTTAACTGAGATACTTCAGTTACCAGGATTAAGAGATGGCAGAGCCTCCACTGGAGACCACTGTGACTATTTAAGATGTTCTCCTCTTCTAATATAATTTGCTTTCTATTCCTGAAGACTTGTATTTATTTCTGTATGTCACTGGATATTTGATGTTTTGCTAAAGTATGCCACGAGCACTTCCTTTATTCTCAAGACATGAATCAAAGAAGCAGCTTGCTTCGATAATATACATCTGAAAACAGAACTATTCTGACCTATTCCTACTTCTGTCTGTGATGACTGAACAGTTAGCTCACATGGGAGAAATGGTGCACATTAGTGTAGATCTGTTGAAGGAACTGATATAAGAAAGTCACACAGAAATTCCATAGCAGCAGGAATCACTACTTTTCTCAAAAGAGGATTAAAATGAAGTATCTGTACTACTATAGAAGAGAATACAAACAAATGAAACAGCAACCTCAGTAAGAGACAGTTGTCAGTATTGACTTTTCCACAAAATACTTGAGGCCTTCTTAAAAACAGCCAGACGATTCAAACTGTAAAAGAATAGTTTTGCTATACTTCAAATCGTACTGAAAACAGCAGAGATAATAATGACCAAAAAAAAGTGTAAAATGTAACATTTTCCTTTCACACATTTGCAAATTAAACCCTTGATTTAAAAAAAAAAATGTATCCACATACAAATAATGTAAGAAAAAAAAATTTCTGCAAAGTTGTGGGGAAATTCAGAAAACTACTCAAACAGCTGAAAATAATCTGATTCATCAGCTTTATTACTTGGACATAATTTGTTATTTTGAAATGCACCAACTGGCAGAAACTTCTTTTTATATACATTTAACTTAAATTTCCATCTCCTTCTACTTAACAGAATTCCCACTATATGTATTACATGACTAATGCCAACAGCAGCCAGCAAACATCAGTAAGTAATATGCTTTGCTTTTAACCATCCCCTTCCTGCTCTCAGAAGGATAAATATTTTTAAACTATATAGACATGAGAAGAGATACAGGATACATACCTGTAATTTAGGTTTTAAAATGCTTACCAAAACTACAACCTATATTTCCATTCACTGAAATGACTGCACAGCTTCCATATGTGAGGCATCATACTCTATTTCTTCATCTAAGATTTCTTTTCATATAGTTTAGGTGTTTTAAGTCACTGTCTATCACCTTGCAAATTACACTGAGAACAGAATCTATTCTGAACCTCCAATCCTTCCTCAATACTTTTCAAAAGGGGGTTTCTAACTAAACTGGTAGCCTAAGGCAACACTGCAGTAGCATTGGGACTTACAAAGCCTAACTAGCAGCATTCAAGGAAATATGGTAATTGAAATATTGCTTATGTGCAGACCTGACATTTGTACACCTTCTCTGGAAAAAGGAGGCTTGGAAATCCCATACACAATTTTTATATCAAATATAAGGTATAGTATCAACAAAAATGGCATAGATGATTTTAGAGTGGTCTGGAGAATTCAGTGCCACAAGAAAGTTAACATTCCCAATTCTAAACATAGAAGTGTATAAAAGAATTTTGTGATTCATATAGGAACTTAATGATGACAGGACCAGATAGGAAACAAAATAGGAACACGACAAGCACAAAAATTCCAGTTTCATCATATATTCTCCCAGTCTTCAGCAATTTGCCACTTTCGCACTTTCTTAGCCAAACGTAAGTATTAAACCACATCATTTAATCCAGTGCTTTGTAGCATCTCCCCATCTGTTTATGTTTGTATTAAGATTATACACACTATTCCAGAGAGACATACCTCATAGGTCCACTAAAATAAACAAACAAAATCAGTAATAGTAACATGATGATGTAAACTATCTGTTTTCTCATGTAATTTCAAGTAGTACAAAATTCCTTGTTGGTAAATTAGTATAGAATTAAAGAAATCCAGCATAGTAGAGTACAGAAATTTTTTGTAAATGCTACCTCAAAAAACTGCCCAACATATTTTCTATTAAGTCCTCAAAAGCTTACAATTACACCATTCACTAATCTTTACATCAATAATTTCCGAGTCAAATGCCTGGAATCTACCTGGCAAATCCTTGACAAATACAAAAAACCCCCACAACCTATGCATAACTTACGATTCAGCTACACAACCATTTCTTTCTAAAACACTAAGGTTTAAACAGTTTTAGGGCAAAGGCTGAGTATTCATAGCCACCATTCATCAAGGTATCTCATATGTGAAAAGATAGTTTCTGAGCCTGCTGCCTTCAAAAAGATACAAAAAGTGTTGGCTTTTACAACTACCTTTTCCTTAGATTACAGTTCTTCAAAAACATTTTGTCAAAGAAATGTAGCTATGTTTTCCCATGCATTTTAAAAAATGTGCTATTCTTGTAATAAAAAGATTTTTGTAATCTTCTAGAGTACTGCAGAACAGGTTTGTATTTATTATTCCAGTTTAAAGAATTTAGACAGGGAACACATTTTTATCTGTTTATTATAATATCCAGAACACTGTCAGCACCAGAAAGCAATAATAATAAACTAGTTTTATTAGGTACATAAAAATATTTCTATTAACTTCAGAATTTCTAAAGCCTTTAAAACTGACTACACAAAAATATCTATGATAATTAAATTTAGGCCTTGAACAACTTAATGTAAACTTCTTAAAAAGAAGTCTATTCAAATATAGGTACAACTCTTGTCAGTGGCTCACAGGGTTGGTTTATCTCCTCTAACTAAATAATTTACCCTTGAAATGTGTACTTCTAGAAATAAAAGTAAATGCTAACCTGGACTAATAGGTGGCCCAAGTTGAAGAAATGTGTGTCATTTTCTTTTATATTATTAATCTGCTTCACTAATTGCAGCAACATTTCAACAGCTCCTTTGCTGGCCATTTCATTAAGTAGTACTGCATTTCCAGACATGAATTTTATAGCTCCCAGGCAATACAGGAGAGCTTCATTGTTTTTTTGTAGATCTTCAGTTCTCAGGACCTCCAACAAACAATCTAAAAGGAAAATGATTATTCAGAAAGCCTAATATTAACATACATATTTGATATAGTCCAGTCATTGAAGAGATTAACTATTAAGAAAAAACCCTCAGACTGAACTCTTATCTTTCTAATAAGTAAGCTAGAAAAATTGGGTATTTGTATTGAAACCAAGAAACAATTGTTGAATAAGAGAATGGGCCTGACTTTTGTTCTCCCAGGCTTCAAGAACCAGAACCAGTTGTAAACACATAGCAATCATTGAAATCCTCAGTCAAAATTTGCAAAAGTGATTGTGTCTGCCTGGAATTGTGTGTACTAAACTTGAGACATACTAAAGAGGTTTATTCCCACTGCTTCTTTAAAAATCAGATGTCTTAAAGCATCTCAAATGGAGCACTAAAAAGCGCATGTGCTTAATTCAGATCTCACATTTGAAGTCTGTTTGCAGCCTTTTTAGATTTACTTTTGCTTTATGCTACCACTGTCAGATATCTGAAATGTTAAAACTAACAGTTGTTAGCACAAGCCAAATGTATCTTCCACAGTCAAATTGAGACATTCTGAATTTGGTGGGTGTATCTTAAATAAATAAGTAATCCTAACCAGTTTTATTATTTTGAATTTGTAGTAACTGATTGAAACTGATATGTACTTCTGCTTCGTGTGTTCCCTCCAGCTGAATAAAAACATTCTCCCATCTCATTAAACTTAAGAGATTTCTAAAGTTTTTTCTGTCTCAAGTTGACACTCGCCAAGTATATGGGGGTATATGGAGGAAGTGCACACACTCTAGGCTCTTGCCCAAACATTCACCCTCACCAACTGCCCAGTGGTCAGCTAAATCATTTGTGAGAAATCAGTTTACACAGACATACGCTTTAACTTATGCACACGCAATAAATGCTTGCAAGATAAAGGCCTCTGTTAATAAAACATAATGAAGTTTTAATGAAAGGAATGACCATCAAGCAATACCGAGTATCATTCATACATCGTAATTTTCTTCATATTTCTCATATTTGCAAGGTGTGTGTGGATGACACAAATGCAATCATGAAAGAGATCTTAGAGCCATTGCTGACAATTCTCCAAAGCTCAATGTGCAGCAGCAGATAAAAAAGCCAATGATCGTTCTCAATATCCTTTACGATGATGGTGAACAACACAGACATTATTTCGCTTATATAAAATCTGGTGCAGACACATTTTGACTTCTATAGACAGTTTTGTTCTGTACATCTCAAGAAGAATCTACTGGACTTGGAAAAGGTACAGAGAAGGGCTACTAAAACAACTGAGAGAATGACACAATACCCTTTCAAAGAGAGAGCTGAAAGGCTGAGATGCTTCAGTCTGAAGAAGAGAAGGCAGAGATATGCAATATGATCGCAATTTAAAAAAATCATGAAAGTGGAGGGTAAGCTGACTGTAGAAACTCTTACAACTCCTGCAAAACTACAAGCAGGGGCACAATGAAAAGTAGATAGGTTTAAAACAGAAGACAGAGAATTTCTGGAACTTGTTGTTCTATGAGATTGTAGCAGACAGCATCAGAAAGTTCAAAAAAAGAACTTGACAAAGTAACGGACAAAAGATCTATAAACAGAGACTAAAAAGAATTAGGTGGGGATGCACCATCTAATGTCCCTAATAGAATGTAACAGTTCTGGATGCTGGGGTAGTACAGGGGAAAAGGATCACAGAAAACATACAGGCTTCCATGCTCTCCCTAAACAGCATCCCCTCTCACCATTGTTAAACACAGAATACCGGACTAGAGGGACCTAGTAGGCAATTTTTAGTGTGTGATTAGGTTAACTGTAAGAATGTTTCCTGAAAGATGATCAATCTAACTACTGAGTTTCAACATCTTAACATATATAAGAACAGAATACATACCCAATAATCTATCATTTTGAATTAAGTAATCATTTTTTTCATTCCTGCAAATTTTAAATGCAAGCTTGCAAACACTGAGAAGATTTTTTCCATCCACTTTCATCTGCAAGTAAATTAAAAGACATAAAAATCACAACTAAAATTTACATACAAAAATGCAGCATAACATTTTACAAGTTCAGACACCATGGCAAACCTGTGTTCTCACAGAACTACGAAATTCCAGCTGGAACTCTGACAGTACACTGAGCCAAATCGAAAAGTTTGCAGAATTAAAGGATTCTGAAACCTAGCTAGTTAAATCTGTTTAGCAAACTGTGTTGACTGACTTTAAAATAACAGATGGTATATTTTTACTTTTAATGTATTTTCTGCAGATAATATATCAATAATTTGCATATTTTATTCTCTAATTCACTTTTACAAAGAAGTTCTGCACAGGATTCAACAGTTTGGCATCTGTGGCCATACCACAAAGAACTCCAGTACAACAGTATATGACATAATGAAAGTTATTCTCAAATATCAGAAAACAAGATCTTATTATGTACTAATGGTCATTAGAGATCATGAAAGGCAAGCAAAAGTGTTAAAAATACAATGACAACTCTTTTCCTTCCCTCTGTATTTCAAGAGCAGCTTTTTCTCTTTATGATTATTAAAAGATTCCACAGAAAAATGTAACAATTTTTTTTTAAATAATCACCAGTTAATGTCTATGTAGTATCTGAATATATAATTATATCTTCTGATTAAAATAACACGTGTTACCTTAAGGGAGAACTGTCCCCTCCTCCCCCCCAACACACACACACATATTACTAAAACACCTACAACACAATGCTAGCTGGTATCCTTTCACCAGTGACTGTACGTACATAATTAGTCAAAGCTGAACCAATAGGTTCAAAATTGAGAGTTTTAACTGGAAATACTAGAGAAAGAGATAATTACATTTACTCTCTTTCAGAAAAAAGACAAACTGTTTTGGTATTTTCAGATAAAGGTGTTTAATAATGTCAAGATATTATTAAAAAACTAAGCTTCATTTCCATGTATAATTTTTTAAATTATTGTTTTGTTTAAATCCCTACATGTGTATGCCAGTTTAGGACACTGTCTCTTTTCCATGTCTAAGTAATATTCCTGCCACCGTACACCAGCTATCCTATTTTGTGCCCCTCATTCCTCCTCCAGATGTAATTTCTCTGCAAGAAACAGGCTTCAACAAGTGCTGATTTGGATGAATGCAAGACTAGTATTCATATAGCAAGAAATTGTGCATAGGAAAGGGTTAGTTTAGACACAGTTTAGAAGTATGAAATGAAAAATTAAATACAAACTGTAATTCATAATTTTGAGCTTCGTATTCTACCAATCAGCATTTTAGAACACTTACAGACAGAATAACCTTCAACAGCTTCAGGCAAAGTGGATCTGAATCAGTGTCTACAAGTTTATATAATGTCTTCAGAAGCATACTTCTTCTTTTAAATCTTTTTCTAAGCATATTCCCTTCATTCAAGGCTTGATAGAGCTTGGTGCAAGCCAGACAAAGACTTTCTATATTGTCTTCTACTTGAATGGGGTGAGAAGGGAGAGAAAAATAAAAAATAATTATCAGTGCCACCTTTTCCAGAGCATCTCAGTAGACAAAGACAAAATAAGGCGCCTAATAAATATCTTAAAATGATAACATGAACAATTTTATTCTGCTCTTTTGAAAAGAAGACACTTGAGCCAAGACATCACAGAGCCAAAATAATACCTAAAGCTAAAATGCAACTTACCTTTAATGCTTAATAACTAGATTGACCAAATACCTACCAGGAAACTGTAAATCTGAAGATATTCTTTAAAGAGCTCCACCAAACATTACATGTGAAAAAGAGACAGTTAAGGAATTTTTTTTCTGCCCATATACATAACCTAATATATCAAACTTTGCTGGGATTAAGAACAAGTGAATGTAAAAACTCATTAAAACTCTTCAATGCGTAGTAGAGGTGCAAGATATATTTGACTGGACTGTTGGCCTATTCACAAAAAAAAAAAGTCATCGAGCTCCTAACCTAAGTCCCTCAGATGCTATTTAAAAAAATACAAAAATAAAATCTGTAGTGAATTATTACAAATCCCGCATCTCAACACAATGGAATCATGTATATTTTTACTTTAGAGGGAAAAGGAAAAATCTAAAATTCAAGAGTGAGTAGGTTTTTTCCTTTTCTTACATTTGCTTTTGTCTATAAGGTGACACTAATAAATCACCATATAAACCTACTTAAACTGCCTGTATAAACCCTGCATTTACTCAGAATGTAGTTCACAGCTGAAATAGAATCATATTCAAGGAGGTAAAGCACTTGTGATGAAATACATATGGACAGGAAATTATGACAAAACTGATTCTATCTAAGGCCCCAAATCTGTAGGCAGATCCAAGGACCCACCTCTCATGCTGAGCAATGCCTGGAAGCTCTCAATTTGCAGTCATCATACTCAAGGAACAGCAATGACTATTCCACTTCTACTCCCATAATAACAGAAAATTTAACAAAATTTAGCATGATTCTAGACCTTCTGCTCCAGTAAGCAGTGGCACTTACAGGACTAGCAAGGAAACAAAATTGAAAGGTCTCAATTTAATTTCATTAAAATTAACAAAAATTACTCATCACTCATCCATTGGGACATTTTTGAAGCTTATCCTCTCTTGAGTACTGGAATGTAACAAAATAAAGTATTTGCTCCTGTGACAGATGCGTTCAACCAGCCCCTTAGCCAAACTAGCAGTAGTTTGGTGCAGGCTCCAGAGGAGGTAAAGGCCTGAGCTGTAGCCAGGCCAAGAACTCCTGTAGTTTCAATCTGTTCTCTGAAAAACCCACAAAGCAGTGACACAGTGAGCATCAGTGCATGAGGCTGGAACACCGATCGATCATGCAATTAACACATGAATAGTGGGTGGCTTTTCCAAGACTCATTTGTCAAGCAGCAAAGAAAGTTGTGGGTACAAGGAGTCTCATGCATACCTTTCCCATTGCACCTAATTTGACTACAAGCCAATCACTTTATTCCATAAATATGACAGCCTAAGTGAGCCTCCTTTGAGCTCTCCCTGCTAGGCAGTGTGGCTGCATGGCAGCGATCTCTCCTTGAGCTGGGACACCCTCAAGGTTGCTCCTTGAGGCAGAGAGACCTTTTACCAGTGGCAGACCTTTGGTAAGTGACTGACAGCATACTGAATTAATACTAATGAAACATTACTAATCCATGTAACTACTCAATATTAGTTATTTTAAACTTTGTATAGATAACTCCATTAGATATAAACTATTGTCCAAGTCTGAGACTAAGATTGCACCTAAGTTTCATCAGTTTAGAAAGCAAGGGGGGTCCTCTCTGAACCTCGTGATGAAACAGGAGGGTCCTCCTTACCCTTTTGTGTCTCCAGTCTCTGTCTATCATTCTAACTCAATTCTAATCTAATTTTCCTTTGTACGTTCCTTCCATGCAGTAACTAATAAGGTCAACCTTGCCATCAAACTTACTGAACCTTGGTAAACCACTGTTAAACTTTGTTAAATTCCATCAAACTTACTGAACCATCTGAATAAAACATATTGCTGCTTCTCTCTTTTGAGTGAGGTGCATTCCACCCATTTGCTACAAAATGGTGTAGTTGTCAGGATCCTAAACCAGGATTCACAACAGCTCCTCTAGAAAAAGAAACTTTAGGGTGCTGTTTGGTTTTGTCATGTAATGATCATCTCAAGCACAAGATATTCATAAGATTTTAGACAATAATTAAGTTCCAGGTTAAATTTCAGATTTGTTTTTGAATGGAAAGTTTTCTGCTAATATTTTTGAGGGACGAAGGGGAAGAAAAAGTCTTTTCTATTAATATATTAAAAACTAAATGTGATTTAAATGCACGTGCAGGGATTTAGCTGAAAGGTATGAAGCACATGACTGTACACAAAGTTAAAAAATATTGAATTACCAGCAGACCCACTAAAAACATTAAAACTATGGAATTCTGATACTCATTTTGATGGGAAGAACTGCAATTGTGCAGTAAACAGCCTAAATAAAGCAATATAACAGGCAGCTGCAGGAGGCAATGATGCAATTCAGTTACAGTCTGTGTGAATATGCGAGAAGCAGCAAAACTTTAATGTTTTTACAATATTACATTCAATCAACTGGTGAGAAAGTATTTTTAGGTAATTTCACCTATTATTAGAAAAACTAATCCATAATCAAGTTTTTTTTTTTTTTAAAAAAAACAACGTACTAAACAAATCAAGTAAAGACTGAGGAAAAGGGGCATGAAAATTGATCTTCTTCAGTTGCATTCATGACAAAGGAGAGATACGATTTGATTTTACCTCTAAGTAATATTTTGCTTACGTTCATAGAAAATCTCACTATGCAAAACTAACTCAGTGGCTCTTATTTGGCAATCTCAGCATTAAGCAAGGCAAATATAAAGTTGCATAGTTGTTTTCAAATTTCCTGATCATTGTTTTTCTACGCATCAGTGACAAATGTGGGAATGAGAACCCTGTCTTTTTAAAATAATGATATATTTTGGGAATCACTCAGTACTGTACAGGTGTTTCATACTCATCAACATCTGCAAAATTATGCAAAAAAATTTTCTAATCTCTACCATGCTATAATGAACAATGCAAAAGATCCTGTAAAATTGAATCAATCCCCTAATTTGACACACACTTTTAACCACTTGTAAAAACAAATCTACTTTCTATATTACCACCATTAAAATAAATATAATGTCTATAGAAGGCAACTAAACAACCTTTTGAATGAAACATTAAAATGGATTTCAGAGTTCAATCTTTCAAGTTATACTTAATTTACTCAATTTTGCTTCAATATTCTGGGTCATTACGTACTCTTCTGAGACATCTAACACTTTAAGCACAAATGGAAATTTTCTTTAAGATTTCTTTAGTTTTCTAAAATTAACTGAGACCTTCAATACAGTCCATACTTAAAACAGTGAATCCATGCAATACTTTATTCTTAAAATTATGACCTCACCACTGACTGCTAAGATGGCAGAGCTATGTTATCTAAAATAAGGTAATTTAATCAGACAAGACCTTCTCTAAACCAGTATTTTTTTTTTTTACAAATCCACAGAATGGTTGAGGTTGGAAGAGACCTCTGGAGATCATCTGGTCCAACCTCCCCACCCCGCTCAAGCCAGGACACCTAGAGACAGCTGCCTAGGCCAGTTTTACACTGCAAAGTCACTGAACATATGAAAGCATGAAAGGCTACATAGTCCAACTACTGTTTTTCTTCGGTAGTAAACAGAGAAGAGTCCCATGTTTCTTGCAGGAAACCCTACAGAAAATACACCCTTTCAAAAACCATGTTACCCACCTTTTTCCAGTTCATGAAGAATTGGTAGAATCTTTGTATGCCAAAAGATTTCTTCCTCTTCTGATTCATTTATTCTTGTTTCATCCTCTAAGCCTTCAAAATACATTCAAAACAAAAGCACATATTCAGTGAAGTTTTCAACTTCTACACAAATAAATAGCTACAAATACTTTATTCATGTCAGAAAAAAAAAAGAAAATGTCACATTTTGCTATATTCTGGGTTATTTTACCTATTCAAGCTTTTGTTTTTATTTACATTTTCTCAAAAACAAAAGTTTCAAACAAAACTAGATGGATAAATGTTTTGATATGTAAAGCTGTACTGTAAAGCCAGATTTGGTTTTGCTTGCTGACATTAATGTTTCATTTGATCGCTGAATTGGAAGGTAATGACTATTTTTACATCAGCCTGTCCTACTATTTTTCAGCTCTGTGTCCACGTGACATCTTATTCTGTGCTAAAAAATATCCATACTACAGACAATCCCCTAGGATTGTACAATTTTATCTAGTGCACATGCACAATATTACACTAAGCTTGGTTAACTGACTCTTCGGTCAGTTAGGGAAAAATGGTCTTGTTATTATATTGTGTTAACAATTCTAATCACTTCATGCAATTAGTTTTGAGAACTTCTCGAGTAAAATTTTGTAAAATGCATGCTTCCCTCCTATTGTTACATTAAATAATTTCTTAACAGAACATTTTGGGAAATGAGTAGCTAATTTATGGACATCTGAAAGATGTTTTGCCTCCAATAAACACGTCAGAAACCTTGAAGGCAAGCAACTCCCAGCTTTCTTGGCCACCCTCAACTAATTTCCTCCACAATGACTGAGAAAGAGCTACTATTATCAGAAACCTTGTTCACTTCACAAAGAGAAGTTTTAATAAATATTTCAGCTTTTTTTATACTTTGCTTTAAAAAGAAAAGACAGAAAAAGTCTATCAGCAGACATCAAGTTAAAAATTGGTACACCAAAAAATCAGCAGTCTCTAATTCTACTGGAAATAAGCCTGGGAATGTGGATCTGAATATGTCAATTTTCAGACTGGACAAGGGAGTTGGTGAAACACGGTTTGTTAAAAAAAGGATTCTAGGATTGACTTGATATGGATGCAATATCACTGCGAATTATTCTGGCTTGCTGAACATCCTTTTCACATTCACCTGGCACTATGTGAAGTAACAGAATTCTGGTCTTGATCATTTGCACACTACAGTAGAGTCAGAGTTTCTGTGCAACTTGAATTTTAAAGGATCTAACAACCTTACGAGCTCCATGTAGGCATATTTTTTGAGTTCAAGATTAGGTTAAGCTCCTTATTTTGCAGGCAACCAAAGTTGTTGTTACAAAGATGGGGTTTGGGTTTTTTGTTTCATTTCGGTTTGTTTTTTTAAACAGGGAAATAAAAGTCACACAATTCTACTAAATAACAGGAAGAAAGCCATTAAGACTAGAATATATACTTTAAGTGACAGATTTATCAGAAAGTGTCTCCTACTGTTCATTACTAGCTCTTGCATTTAAATGACAAGGTAAATTCTTAACATCATCACTATCAAACACAAAAAAATACTATCCTACATGAGAACACTGATATTGAGAGGTTTGCATTATGTGAACAGTACCTCAGACCTTAAAAAAATTACTGTCTACTGAGCATTACTTGGAACACTGAAACAATTCAAAACTTCCTATTTTAAAAGCTTGATCTTTAAAAAAAAAATCCAAATTTTGTGTATCTGTATTAACTTTAACTGTCTACCTATATTCTACACAGAATGAATCTATCAGATCTATTTCAACTGATTACACAAAAATGCTGCTGTTTCATAAGTAATAAACTGGTAAGCATGTTATTACAATAACTGTGTATTGTTGGTGTGTGCATATATACATATTAGTATAAGTACTTGTTATTAGGTAATATTATTATTATTTATTTTGTAGACCTTTATTTTCTAGATTAAAGGAGTTAATAGTCTTATTTAGATCGATGAGTAGCTTAATGAATAAAACACTATGCAGCATTTGCAACTAAATGGAAGTTCTGCTCCAGATAATGTAAGACCACAACTGAAATAAGAACACTAGTATAGTTTGCAACGTTCCTTCCTGCCACAAAACCCACATATTGACTCAATTATTTATTTTCTTTCCAATTTGTAGCTACTTCTCTTAAACTGAAAGATGGGACTGGCTTTCTAACTATGCACATGCTTAACTTTATTAAGCAAGAAATAGAATAGTTCATGTATTTGCCATTATGACCAAACTTCTCACTAGAAAAAAAAAATTAACAAAGCCATTCAATTTTGAGTTCAGAACAAGAACTGATTTTTTTATGCCACTCTGCTGCAGTTGACTCACATTTATCAGAAAACTACAGAAACCTAAAAGTCATAATGGCATAATTTTTTTAAATAAATATCACCTGTAGCTAGGGGAAAAAAAAAAAAAGGATAATCAGCTTTTACTAAGCAATAGTAATCCTAGCAATAATAATGAACAGGAAACACATTATTTTAAAGAAAAGCAACATTAATAAATTGTAAACTTGCATGTGTCTCAGTTCTGGGGGATTTTTAAGGTGCTGATGAAAAGTTATGGCACTAGCTGTATTTAATATATTGCAGAAGCTGTCCTGAACCTTCTAATCAAGTAAATCATAATTCAACAGCAAAAATACTCAAGCAAAAAAATTCAGCAAGTTGAAGTTCATTGTTTCAGTTTTTCATAGGTCTTAACCACAGCTTTGCATTCTGGTCAAAAAAAAAAAAAATCACTAATCAGTCTACATTTATTGGTTGCTGTTTTTAGCATGTAAATACAAGAGCCTTAGCAACACTGAGCTTTCAAAAGCTGTGTACTGCCTGACTTATCATGTTTAGCCTTTCCATGGAATAGTGACTGGCTACGAATATATCAATACTAAAACAGTCTACCTCTTCTCTAAAATGTGAAAGTAAAAAGACAAATCATATCAGAAAATAGAAATAATCTGTATATGAACACTCCCTCCAGGACCCCACTGTAGAGGAGAAATGATAGAGAATTCCTACTGCTATTCCTACTGCTATCCCACTGTTTATTCTGGGATTACCGATGAAGTATGCACAAACTAAGGAAGCAACATAATGTTAAAAAAGGTAGATATAAAAAGAAAAAAAATCCTAATAACATATGATTTTTTCAATAGCACCAATAAAATAGCACAAATAAATTAAAAGACTTATAAACAGAGAAAATACAGCCTCACAGAATGCTAACTCTCATGACATGATAAATGCTCTCAGCTCCTCTGAAGGAAATGAAAGCAGAGAACATTAGCACATTACAGCCTTTGCCAGAATGATCCAGAATAATGCAACTTCTTAGTTCTAGAAAAATAGTAAAAAAACATAGTAATAGCGGAGAAGAAACTTCAGGTTTCCATACCAGACTCTCAAATATGGACTTGCCATGTATGAAATGTGCCAGCTATGAGGAAATATTAATTAAAATCTGTTATGTAAAATTAGCAAAATTCATCGCTGCAGGGCAATCCAGAATCTGTATCTTCAGCTAATATACCCTGGCATAATTTTATTAGTTTCTGTGCAACTATGCCAGTTTACAAAAAGTGATGGGCAACTGAAGTGTTAACGTACTGGCAAATTCTTAAGCTTACATATGGGAAAAACAAGAGAAAAAATCAACAGATTTTTAGTGTGAAGATCTCCTGAATATTGTTTCTCTTTACCAACAACAGCAAAAAAACCCAATACATCTAGAAAACTAAAAATATTTTTCAGTGAATAAAGAAGAAAAAGATTTTCAAATCACAAATATTAGATTATTTCTATTTGACTGTATTTCACATTTTTTGGCTGGAGATTGAAATGCCTGATGAAGTACCTGTTACTCTTCTCTTCCAGCTGGTACTCCTTGGCCATGATGAACTTGTGCCAGGCGTTTTCATTTCATCACTAGGAGATACAGTATAGGTACACACAAAGTAAATCAGAACACAGTGCTCAAAATGCTACTTTCTTCACACGCACTCAGTATGAGATCTGCATGTTAATAACTAATTGGAAAAGATTATAAAGTTATTTTACTAAGTTAGTAGGTTACCTGCTCATTAAAAATAAAATACAAATACAACTTCCCCCAGCATATATTACGGAAGTCTCCTTCAGAAATATTGACATATTTACACCACAAGAGGTCACCATTATGGAACACAAAACCTAAAGCATTTCTACTTGTACAATAAAACTACAAGCTGAACAAAACTAAACTCAGAAAGAAGCAATTTTTATTTTTCATCATTTTCATTCACTGCATATAAACTCAACTAGCTTAAAGCTGTAAATTCATCCATTCACAAGGACAGCGATTTCTTCTGATAGAATTAATACTTTTAAAAGGTTTAATAAGAAGAATTTTCAAAGAAACAAACACTTTAGTAACCTCTAATTTAAATATTAGATTTTCCAGGTCTGCCTGTGAACTACTGCTACCTGCATAGAGGTCACTAGTTCTGCTAGAACAAGAAACACATACACTGTCATTTCTTTGTAAAGCAACCGAGCAATGCCTTAATTCCTGCTGATTGTATGATTAGTCTTTCTCTGGCCAGAGGAAACTACTGTATACATCTGTGATAAATCTATTCTGTTTGCCAAGCTACACATTCAAGCAGCATTGATCTAAAAGAAATATGCAGACTCTCTTTGCTACTGAACAGGAATCTTTTCTCCTGTAAATTCTGTTGTAAAGACAAAGGTCTTAATCTAAGTTTTCTATTCTCAGTGTATGTATAATTTAACACTTCTTATTCCATTTATAGTTCATGTACCAATACAGCCTAATCTCCTAAATTTCCTTCTGAAGATAACAGTAGTGTGGTTAGCAATGTTATTTCAAGTTTTTTTTAACCTGTTAATTTAGTTGCTATAAGGCTTAAAGCTCAACTGCTGTTTAAGTGGTTTTCTGGATTGGTGCCTAAATCCCGTCTGCCAGTCCAGACAGATGTAAGTCATCCTATCAACAGATGGAGACAGAATAAAAGACAAAGCTCTTGTAAGATCACTTCCCTACAAAAGGGACTGGATAGCTTACTGTGATCAGTCAAAAATTTCCCAAGCAATCACATTACAGAGGAACACTTGCTTCATTATGGCTAACAGTAAATAATGCTTTCTTTTTACAGCACGAGGATTTAAGTGCTCCAAAATCCAAATGCATACACAGAATCGATTATTTCAGCTCATATGTAGCAACTTTTATTCATCTGGTGAAGAACTGTGTTTTTTTAAAAAAAAAAGAAATAAAATAGGCAAGTCCTTGCATCTCTGCTCTAAAATAGACTGACATCTGTAAGAAAGAGGGTTTCTGCGGCACACATTAAATACAGTTCAGTGTATCAATAGAAATCAAAATTTGGTTCCATTTATGCAAATACCTTGTCCTACAAACTTGAAAATTTTAAGAAATGATTCTATAAGGTTCAGCCATCCCTGAAATCAAGACTATAGCCTGAAAGGACACTGGGTAAGCAAGAGAATAACAACTTCAGTCACCTAGTGCTAACCCAACTATATTCAGAAATCAGTATCTTCAGAATTATATGGAGGCATAATGATACCATCTGACTATATGAATATGGATGTTTGAGTTTGCTTTCCTCAGCAAAAGAGTTTTGTAACAATATCCTGTCTGTGCCTCTTCCCCTAAAATATAAATCCACAGGATGAATCCAAGAAACCTCAACAAAGACAATCCTACAAGTTTTGTAGGAAACAAAAGCAGCTGAATAGAAACGACACTGAAGCAAAGGATGTGGTAACCTGAACATTTATCAGATAGAAACACCACATATCTGAGATAAAAGGTAAGATTATGTCAAAGTCTGAACTGTGTAAAAAAATAAAGAAAAGAAGTATGGTTGGAACCTATGATTTCTTAAACACCAGTATCAACCAGTTTAGCGACCTACGTGAGTAGGAAAGCAGATTGCTGTACTGCTGGTATTCACAGAACTATCTGTACTTTTGGGTAACATCCTCATAAGTTAAACAGCTTAGCTGGAGCTTTCATTATTTTCACAAAAAGAATACACTGAATACATACATAAATGAGAATGACTGGTAGGCATGTTTATCTTTAGGGAGTATGTACAATTTATTAATTTTGTGAGAGATTATAGAATTTCTTTATATATCTTTACAATACTGCCAACTCCATTTTAGTCACAGAGACTTTAGCTTCTTTGTTACCTTTTCATGTTCATGCATCAATATCTTGTTAAGAACTATGCAGTTAAAATGTAATCAACCTACTCTAAAAAATAAGTTACCTATAACTGAAGGGAACTGGCTTGTCAAAGAGTGGTTGCCTTGGAAACAAAGTCAATTGGCAGAAATCTGATCATCTGATAAGGGATTCATTAAGAAATCAACTGACAGAGGCTCTGATTTACAGAGGTAAAAGAATTTGGCAACTGGATCACCTCTATCCTCCTCATATAAGTATTATATGAGCATAGTAGCCCCTGTGAGGTACACTGCTTTCTTGAATATACACAGACTATGAGCACTTCCAAAAGGAAGGTGGGCTAGCACTGCAGTAGTGCATTCAGTATTTTTCCCTGGTGAAAGAATACATCATTAAGTGAAAGTAGCATTTATTCAGAAACTCTCCATGTTTAGATGCTCACTTGATTGTTCTTGCTATTAGCAGCTTGTTAATGGTAAATCTGCAAACTCTCACCTTCAGTGGCATTTCAGGGAAAACTACATTTCTCAGAATTGCATCCCAGAGGCAAAGAATTGGACTAGTTCTCTCCCACGAATCTGCCCACAACTGCTTCACAAATGTGAGTGAAAGATCCCAACAGAGGAATAGTGCTTGGGCTCTTTTCTCATACTGTGGAGCCTTAAACATCTGAGAATCTGTCTGCCTCTTAACTTGAAAAACAGAGTCTGGCAATGGGCCTGAATTTTGGCCTATACTTTGCCATACAGTTAGACCCTTAGCATGGTCCCTGCTACAGTTTAGGCCCAAGAAAGGTAGTACTTCTGTTGACAAACGCCTGGGCACAGGGCACAGACAAGCAGAGATAGGAACATTCCCAGCCAATAGTTTGTGTGTGGTAGGGAGAGGGTTAAAAATATTTTCACTGTATTAACATAATCCATGACACAGCAGTTGCCCACCAAGACAGAGACTAACTCCTTTGTTTAATTTTTATTATTAGTACAGATGTAGCCCTGGCACCCCACCGATTATTTAGTTACCAGTTAGGAGGGACATGTAGCATAATAGTAACAAGTTAATGCTTCTCTACAGATCTGCCTAACAAGCACCTTTGATCAGCAAGGTAGCAAAGCTTAACTAAAAAGAAAAGAGAACATGATCATATTTTCTGAATTGTCAAACTTGAAGGCATTCCCTCTAGACGCTTCCCTCTCCTCTCCACATGGAAAGGTTTATGCAACACCTACATATTCCTACAACTTAGTGAGGCAAAACTAGGAAATACAGAAGTGGGAGAAGCACAGTGACTGAGATAGTGCATCAAAGGATGATGAATACGAAGGATAGTTTTCAAAGGAAAGAGTAGAAATAATGGGGAAATGAACAAAAGGGCAGTGGGTATAGAAAAGGCCGTAAGCCCCATACTGTCTGCTTCTGCAAGTGCTAAGATCTCACACAACTTTGCTCCTCCAGAAATTATGGGCCTCTTCTCTTGCACCCATGTAAACTGAATCTGTGGACTCTCTTGAGGTAGAGATAGGAACTGGGACTACCCCATGTAAACTGGAATCTGAACAGTCTTACAAAGGCAGAGAGCTACTCACGTGCATACAGTTCCTAGCGTGCCCTGAGTAAATGCTGTGAGCAAGCTATACACAATAGAAACCAGCTGGTGTCTAAAAATTTAATACATTCCTAAACAAGGAAATTCAAATTAATTACCAACTTTGATAATAAGATTCTGCAGAGCACCCTTAACTTTGTGTTTATAGGTATCTTTTTTGGGGGTGAATTCTATGTGATTAACGCAACTTCTTTGGGGTGGGGGGGCAGTTGAAGAACAACTGATTTCCATTGAGAGAAACAGATGGACTATTAGGATTAACATCCAAGGACTTTACGAAGACTGACTAACAAAACATCATTTTCTCTGTCAGCTCCACACAAAACTTTCCAAATAGTAGTAAATCTCAAACATCAGCAACATTTAAACCAGAAAAGGTTAACTTGGATGATACTTGGAAAAAAAGAGCACACTGCCTTGTAAAGACATCACCTGCATATACTAAAATACTACTAATACTTACAGAATATACGCTTACATACATTTTATAAAAATATGAAAGAGAACATGGTCTAGTTAGTCCAAAAGCTTGTCCTCAACTACCTCTTTTCAGTGTATCAGAAGAAGACAGAAAACTGGTAAGTACAGACACTCACAGAAAAACCTCTTCAGAAGTTCCTTCCTGATAAGAAGCCTTAGTCTGTGTTGCCGCCACGTGAAAGATCTCTTATCACCCATGTGATCTTGATAAAATGTTGGCCTCATTGCTAACATGTAGTAGCATTTTCCAAAGTAAAGTAGTATTCAGTTTATTTAAAAATAAATTTCTAAGGCATTTGGGTTTATTGCCTCTCGATTTCCTTTTATTTATTTGATGTCCTTTTTCTTAAACCAGAAAACTGTAATTATGTGCATACAATTTCTACACATCTTTATCTGCAGAGCATTTTCTAGATCTACAGAACCACGATTCTAATCTTCTAAGTTTCTTCCTTGTAAGCAAATCTAAGCCCCTGATAGTTTAATTGTCCTTAGAGCCCTTTTATTTTCTGTCTTTATTTTGTTAAGATAAACAAACCCAACTGTAGTTAATTTAAAGGTACACTAGCTATTTACGTAACAAAAATATACAAAAGCCGTAACAGGTCACGCTGAAAGTTCACCTTGCTCAGTGTCTTCTAACAGTTGCCAAAAAGCTTCTCAGATGCCTCCAGCAAATAGAAGGTGCTGCTGGGGTGCCCTACCTGCAGTTCTTCAGTTTCTGCCTTCATGTTTTTCACCCTGATGCATTTCTCCCCCATTTCTTTTTTCCTCCATTTTCCCCAAACTATCAGTCAATTTCTCCCCAACATATTTTCCTCCACTCCATCCCCTTTAGTCCTCACAAATCTCCTTTCTTCTAGTTACTTTAAACCCAGAAATGTGACTCAAAATTTTATAAATTTTATTTTGGATCCTTGATATATCGATGTTTTCAGGTTTTCAAACATCTAGGAGAGCAATTTCTAACTTTTCACAAGGCTCTAAAAACAGCCTAGGCACTGCAATGAGTAAAAGATGCAGACTGTTTATACTTAAATACAAGCACTGAACATCTGATTTTACAAACATATGTTGTGTGCATTGGAAAGCCAGACATGATGTATCTACACCCAAAAATCAAGACATTTGACTAAGTGGTAAGAAGAACAGATTTAGAGCAATGCTAAGTAGATCCTGGGGACCTGCTCAGGGAAGCCAAATGTATCAAAAGGACTACCAGGCACAAAAGTGTTCTTTCAGACTAGATCAGAGCTCAGACCTCGTGGTTGTAGATAATCCTGAAATAGGTTTGCCGTTTAGAAAGACTGTTCTTTGAGATGTTACTGACATGTATATTCAGAGTGTGACTACATCTACACTGTAATCTGGGTTTATTTTTAATGCTAGCAGTATCCAGGATGGCATGTCTTCTATTGATAAGAATGATTTGGCTATTTAAGCAGTTGTGCTATTTTCCTTTAAACCAAAGATTCCCAAATTCTATATGGAGTACAAAGGGAAAAGTTGCAAGAATGTGCTGTGAAAGTATATAAAACCAGTAAGTCTCTAAAAAGAACAGTCACAGGTAAATAACTAGTTTTTCCACTTTGGAGAGCTTGCCACGGCAGAGAAGGAAGAAGCTCTTGTCATACAATCAATGAGGGTGCCATAACACACCCTCCCTTCAGGTGTTTATATACATTGATAAGACCCCTTCTGAGTCTTCTCTTCTCAAGGCTAGACAGTCTCAGCTCTCTCAGCCTTTCCTCATATGAATGACTCCCTTTATCATCTTAGTAGCTGGACTCTCTCCAGCTGCTCTGTATCTCTACTGCACTGTGGAGCCCAGAACTGGAACCAGTACTCTGGGTGTGTTGGAAGTTTTCAAGACACGAATGAACAGGGTGCTAGATAATATCATCTAGGCTTCCTTTTCCACAAAAGATTGGACCAGATGATCTTCTGAGGTTCCTTGCAACCCAAGCTGTTCTATGAACTTGGTGTCCATCGTGACCCCCAGGTCTTTTTCTGCAAAGCTGCTGCCCAGCTGGACAGCCCCTGGTACATACTGGTGCCAGGGACTGTTCCTCCCAAGTGCAGGACTTTGCACTTGTCTTTGTTAAACTGCATGAGGCTTCTGTCAATCCATTTCTACAGCCTGTCAAGGACCCTCTGAATGACTGCACAACCCTCTGGCATAACAGCCAAAAGACTGCTTATATACTGACTGCCAGTATTATTCAGAACTGTAGTCTCCTGGCAGGAGCACTGAGGAGCATGGTGCAAAGATACCTAAGGCTCTAGACCAAGTTTATCAAGGGCACAGCCAGACTGAGAAGCTTTATCTGAAAAAAAAAAAAAAGGATGGCAGCTCCAATAAAAGTTAAAAGGAACTAATGGTGATCCTGGGAGTCGGGGCAAGAGGGATGACACAGCAGACCCTGAGTCAGCAGCAAGGGACAAGGTGATGCAAGAACCCCAAGGCAAAGCAGAAGGGGAGTCAGATGTGGAGCTGGAGCAAGTGAGAAAGACTGCGACTGATTTTCTCAGACAATGTTCAATTACACAATGCTTAGGAACCACCGCTTTAGAACATAAGCCCTCTGCTACCAGGATTCTTCCACCATCACCGTTTAGTGATCAGGAAACAAGAATTCTAGCTCTAAGCCACAGTTACTGATTTTAATAACAAGACATTGCTCTGTAGACTTTGAAAGGATGTGTAAACAACATCCTAGTATTTTTGCCAAAGCAACTAATAGGAATTGGTTTTAGCTTTTGGCAAAATGAGAAAAATTAGTATTTTGCTTTATCATTCACTCTCACAGAAATTAATTTTTCCATATGCCAATTAATATTTGCATTTTTCATTAATCCATTTATTCCTGTTTAATTACACTAAGCAGACATTTTATGTTGCCAAAAGGACACAAGAATTAGTTTTCTGTATTGTCTTTCGTTGGTTGAATACTAGGGAATACGTTTTTGAGGGTTTGTTTTGTTTTAAACCAAATTATTTCTTCCTGACCCATAACTTAGCACTCGAATGGCACTCTTTTTTAGACAAAGAATTGATCTTCACTAAGCAACTTAAGAGAATGTGTCTCTGTTTTGCTCAGCTACCACTGAACTTTCCTATGATGTCATGTAAGGGATGAACAAAATAGATACAAACACAATGTGGAAATAAGTAATAGGTGTGCCTCAAAGAAAAAAATAATTAGTATAATAGATAATTTTCTAAAGACTGTTTTCCTTTTAGAAAACACAACAGAGATGTAGTAAATTACTTGTGGACAGCTAAAAGAATTATAAATTAAACTATTAAACCAATTACATAAACCTTTAGTCAGTCCTGTTTCTCAGCTACAAAGCTTTTCAAAAGCATGCAAATAATTGAAAAGCTAATAATATAGATGTCCTGAAATTATTTCAGGAATTGTAGAGGAGTACACCATAAGTAATACCACCAGAAAAGACAAAAACAAAGGGAGGGGAAACTGAGGCTGTAACTGATACCACTGATATGAGAAAGGATAAATAGTAGAAAGGCAACATAATTTGCAAAAATATGTTGACAAATAGGCCAACTACACTCTGAGTCATCCTAAAGATGAGCAAATAACAGTTCCTCCATAAACACAATCACGGGCATAGTCCATTACTTATGACAGCTCCAGTGATAAAAATATACTATTCTATTTATACAGGCTGTTGATGAAGAACTTCATGCACATGTTAAATAGTATGGCTTAAAAGAATAATAGAGGTTGATGAAAAACCTATATCCTTATCCTTTTTATTCTTCACAGTCTTTGCAACCTTTGTCTAATACAGAAAATAAACAGTATCTATTTGTGGCAGGGTATCTTTAAGCAAGAAGACAACTGACAGCCTAATTCTAACCATTAAAAAACACCTAAAATACTAGCCTAAATATATTTGAGTCTGAAAACCACAGTATCTTCATCTTCCTAACTTGAAACTTGCAAAAGCATTCTCATTCTAAACAAAAATTCAACCTAAATCCATTGTTACTATAGTCCTAGCTAGACTGAACTGCCATTCCTTCTTTACCCCTTGCATGGCACACTTCCCCATTCTAGAATTACCATTCAATTGGTAAGAAATACTCTCAAGACCTGGATCTCACAGATTTTGAGACCAATGACCTTATCCTGAAACTAATGACTAGAGTGGAAAGACTGCCTCTAGAGTAGGCAGTAAAAGTGAGCCTAAACTCCACTCTCTCACAAGTGAAGAGACCAGAGATAACAGCTACCTGTTGTTCTTTTTTTCAGAAGTCTATAAAAAGTTCTGAAAAAGAATTCTTCATTTGGAATTTTGTCTCAGTATCCCCTAATCCTATACAAAACCAAGCACCTTCTTGAAAGGGCAGTTGTCATATTTTCTTTGGAAAACACTATTGTAAGCTCTACCTGTTAATGCTTTCCCACCACTCAATTGTTTATTAAATTACTAGTCTCAATAGCTAGTGGAACTGAGGCAGAAATAGAGAAAGATTAGTTAGGAGTAGATTAATTTCCTGTTTCCATGTCTTTACAAGAACTCCAGAAATTGTGGATATAAATAATAAGAAAAGGCAAATCGTGAAAGAAGTCTGGAGAACCTGCAGCAATATCAGCTAGACCATACAACAAACTAATATCCACACCATGTCATGCACTTCAAAAATTCATCCAGAGCAAAACAGAATGGGTGTTCCCTACAGGAAAGAAATCTATCTCCTCTGTACGAATAATTTTCTTTGAGGAAAAAAGGAATTAATATTTTGGGCATAGATGTGAAGCTAGTTTAAGCAATCAGATAGAATTGATTTCCAGTATTCATTTGTCCCATGCTTTTATCACTTTCTATTGAAGCATTCCAAAACTCTAAAAAACACAAGAGAAACTAGTCTTATAAAAGCAGTTGATGAATACCTCGCAAGGAGTCTGTCAAACAGGCATTTAATAAGGACAGCAATGGTGATAAAAAACAGGGCATAGTATACCTTCTTTACAGCACCTTCTAATAATTTTGTAGCTATTTACAGAAAACACTTATTAAAAAAAAAGTGTAGAGCAGGCCTCCTGGGAATCAACCGTTTGCCATCAAGATTTTCCTCATTGAAGGCACCTATGTTTCTAAGGAGTCCTGGAATGACATCTAAGCTTTCAGAATATTGAGAAATTGGAGGAGGAGAAAAAAAAAAGTGCATCTCTTCTCACCAGGGAAACTGCTGCTCTTCATCAGCAAATCTGCCATCACTGTTGACACTTCTGTTGAAATATATGAATGCAGAAAACATTTTAGAAGTTTCATTTCTATAGCAATCACAATAGATGGCAAGGCACAATAGCTGGATTAAGATGTAAACAAAACTTAGCTTCCTTATGATTGTCAGAAATTGCTTCTTGCTTTCCTGAGGGAACATGTCAATAAATTCAATCTGCTTCAATTAATATACCTATTCTATTATAACTAGATGGTTATTTGAAAAACAGAATTACAAACAAAATGACAAATAACTGTTCCCCTCAAAAGGTCGTTTTCTCTTTTTTCCCCCAGTATCTTTATAAAGCAACAGTGATTTCATTAGTGCTGTTCATTCTTTTCATCAGTCCTTGGGACATCAAAAGAATCTGAGATAAAAAGTGAGTAAGTCTCTTGCTGGAATAAAAGACTTCCATTCTCTTCACTTTGAAATAAATGTAATAGCATTAATGGCAGGAATCTGCCATGCTACTTTGGCATGTTCTACAGTTTCATCATTAACAGAAAAACAGCTTTATTAGAAAAGTTATTTAGGTACATATATAGGAGCTGTGGCAAAAAAGGAGTAAGGAGCCTCATGTACCTTCTCTTGTATGAAGTGTACCACTTCTACAATCCTCTTGCTTAATTCCTTCAAGGATCTTAAATCACTGGGATACAGAATTGAGGCTGTCACAACTGCTTCATATGGAGAATGACAGGACACCAGGTAATAAAAGATTTAATGTTCCTTTAAGCTGTCATCCTATTACTCCTGAATACAATGTACTTTAAATAGAAAATATCTTTTAACTTCACACAAGATGCCTCAAATATTAACGACATAGAGGCAGATGCAATCTAATCACAGCAATCACCTAGTACCTACAAACATGTTCTATTGAGAAAGAATGCCAAAACTCTGTTACTGCAGTGACCCCTCTAACGCTACTGGAACCTTTTATATACAACTCCTATCAGGACGAAACTCAATAAACTATATTGAAGGATACGTTTGTGATAGCTTTCAACTGCCTTGTCAGATGAAGAATGACATCTCTGAACTCAGAAAGGGATATAAATTACAGTCTGCCTGACTCATGTAGGATCATATGCAAATACTGAAACAATGTGTTTATTGGCATAAGTCTTACCAATGAGTTAGAATGTATGAGAGCAGTTGAGATTACCTAGCGCCATTCCATCATACCACGGCATGAACTACTCAGGCTTATATAGATGAGGGATCTTTGTCCTTTACTAAAGGGAAAGCATTTTTTATTATTTTTGTGCATATTGCAGCACTGCAGGTATGTCTGGTACTCTAAGCCATAAGAGCATCTAAACGTTGTTATCAATCCTTGGTGCAAGAGTATAAAGCAGCGCAGGCAGCATCTCTTAAGTAGCACTGGCAAAAATCATCTGTCTCAAATACACAGAAAGCATGCAGAACTCATGGGAGAAGGTAAAGATGCAACATTCAAAAATACAGATCTTGCATTCAACAGAGAAAGAGGGAGGAATATTATGTTACTCTTCTATTTTGGAGAAAACTAGTCAGAACAAGATTGGAAAACATTTTTTTGCATCATCTTAAGGCCAGGAATTTGAGATCTAATTTAAGTGATGGGTGAGATTCAACTACCTCTAGTATTATTCTCCCTAGTTCAAATATGAATATGACAAGCTACATGCATTAACGTTCCATCTTTTATGGTTAGAATCATTAGTATCTTAGCTATCATCTTAAGAGTCAGAAAAGTAAGTAACAGGTCATAAAGAAATTAAGCCAGCAGAGCTTATGCAAAATGAACCTTGGCAATCTGTTCTTCAAATATGCATAATGATAGCTGAAGAATATAAACCAGAAAATATGCAATTTTCCCCTTTCAATTTTTTATATTTTCTAAAACTCTTCTTACACAGAGAAATTGAACTGAAAATGTCCCATAAGACTTCATGTTGCAACGACCAATCTTTCTGGTAATAGACTTTTTTTGCCTGTTCCTAAGAATATTTCAACAGAGAAGCCAGTCATTCTCAAAAATTATCAAAGTAATCAAGGTAAATCATGACATTCTGTGGTTCAGGCTACCAGAAAGCTCAATGACTGTGGTGCATGCCATACGAATGGGTCATTACGAAAAGTGCCAGTAACAGAAACCCAAAATCAAAAACTTGCAAAGCTCTCAAGCTGATAAAGCAGAAGCATATAATTTTGAACAGATAGCAGGGTTTTATAAGGAGTTAACTGTTGTTCAATCATACCTGCAACTTTTAAAATTATTACTCCGAATAAAGGTCACTCTTTGCAATTAGCAAAAGTATCAATTGACCATTTCTTATTAGAGACGCTTAGATACCATTAACTAACTACCTTTTTCAACTGCAACACTAAAGTACTTCACACCACACCTTTACTAAATAAAAGTCAAATTACAGTGACTTCTGTAGTATGATAATCCATACAGTCTTTACCTAAAAAGTCTTTTGGGTCACTGATTTTAATGAGAAAATATGATTTTGCACTGAATCATTCTCCTTGATGCTTTACCTTCCTTCACCTACATTTTTCATTGCTGGGCTTATTTTCTCATTTCCCCTCACTTCATATTCATGAAAGTCACTCTTTCCCCTCACAAGTCTCCAGTCTTTCAGAATTATTATTTTTTTTTTTATATCCTACTTTTGGTTTTATATAAGAGTGCTATGATAGCTCTGCTATTTATTTGCTGTAACAGCCTCAATAGACAACATTCTCCAAACTATTCAGTACTATGAAGTTAGTACACAAAAGGTGTTTCATTTTATAAAATTAAGAATATACTCTTAATACCAAAGATGCTTAAGGATATCCAGGGAAATAATTTTTTCCTAAGCATAAAAACGTGTTAGAAAAGATATCTACTGGCAGACATTTATATTTAATAGTGACCAAGTGCTTATAGGATGTGTTTTGAAAATAAACTGTTATTCATTCTTTGTTGTAGAGATTGTCAGATCTGTCAATGTTATTAGCAAAAATGGTTGTTCGTCCAACTACTAATGCAGCAACTGATACACCTATTGAACATAGTGCCACAGACTATTCCTCCCTCTGCAAGAATTCACACCTGAATCAAAAAAAAAAAAAAAAAAAAAAGACTTAATTGTGAATTACAGAATGGATGTAATAATCTAGGTTTAGTAAAAACAGACTGCATGCACATAAGTTTTATTAATTTCTTACACCTGTTTGGCCATCGAAAAAAATGAACTAAAAAAATTCTGCCTCTATTGCCAATGAGTTTAAGCCTGCTTTTTGTGTATGATCACATATTTTCCAAATATCAGAACTGGAAACACAGCTCTACTCATTTGTGAATGAGCTAGGGGAAGAATGTATAGCACCTTAAAACAACAGGCTTGAACTGTAAAAGCAAGCACATTGAATTTAAACTTGAGTATGCAATTATTAGAAGACTTCGTTCTGAAATGTTAATGATCCAACCCAATGAAAGTTATTTCATATCAAGCAACTTTCTACCAAGAATTTTTGGACAAATTAGTCTTTTGAGTGTAGAAACTTCCTAAGAAAAGAAGTGTAAAGATTTTTTTTCCTAATAATCTAAACATAGTTTTATTTTAATGCATAAATAGTGCTGCCTTCAAATTCTATCAATTTTAAACCTTTTGTTATTTCACAATTGAATATCTAGGAAGAGGGTCGTGTGGAAGGTGCACATTACCATACCCAAGCAATACCAACCTTTCTCCTCTCAGTTTAAATAAAAATTTTCCTGCTGTCCCTTTTAGGTAGTCTTCCCTCTCCGATCTGCTGATACGCTCATTACAAATTAATTGCCTACTTTCATCATTAAATGGTGTGTATGACCTCTGCTCTGCTAAGCAGTTATTATTACTTCTGCAGAGATTATTCATTATAGCTGGTTCTTCAGAATCTAGCTTTTCTTCATCTGAAATAGCCAAAGAAAATACATTTTGTAGAAGTGTTTTTACACAATAAATACATGCAGTGAATCTCAAAATTACTGTTTGTCATGTTACATTATCAAAATTTCCTTGTATTAATTTAAAAGGTGAGAAAGCTTAAGACTATAGAGCAAAGTAGTCGGTCTTCTTATGAACATCATTTCTCGAAGTCTTTCAGTTTTGTGTTTTAACATTTTAATCTTTCCTCTTTTTTTTTTTTTTTTTTTTATTTCCCTTTTACTGATAGGTGGATTGTACCTTGTGAAAAAAGTGCTTATATTTCAGGATCTGAATATTATGAAGGAACCCAAGCAAAAGGTAGCTGTTAATCTTGTACCTTGGTATGTACACATGATAAGAACCCGCACAAAAAACTTACGTAAACATCAGCATGATCCCCAAAGGGGAGAACAGGCAGACTCAGGCTGTAATGACATTAGGTTCTCAACTTCCCCAATTAGCAACACTAACTTATTAAGACTAATGGATTAAACTACATATAGGGGTACATGATATAAATATATAGTTATAGAATATGTACATAATCGTTAAGTAAAAGTTTATTACTTTTTCTATAAGACTTACTTTGCAGTAAGATAAGAAGTAAGATATTCAGTATCCCAGGTAATGTAAGAATTGTCATTATTACAAATGAGTCTTCATTACAGACAGAGTTCCAACACATTTTATTACGAGCTAATGTGCAGGAAACCAAGATGTCAAATCATTTCCCATCTACAAGAAAATTACTTTTAAATTCCACATTTAGTGACCTTTGTCTCCACTAATGAAACTCTTTAACAACAAATACAAGCTAGTTGGAGACCTGTCAAGACATAAAATTCCTTTCTACTCCTCCTTTTATGCTCAATAATCCATCAGGGAATCTCCTTAGATGATGTAATCTCATTACCTCTTTAAACATTTCAGCAATTAATGTTAATTTTAGCCGCTGAATAAAACTTCCAGTAAAAATTCCATTACTTAGAAACTTGTAGGAAAAACAGGCACTTGAGCAGCTTTCAATTCACTTTCAGAAGTGAAAGCCAGTATCATTTTTGGATATCACATTTTCAAAACTGGCTTAAAGCCATTTAACTACTTTAAAATTTACTCTGAAGGACATGCAGGTCTCTTAACATAATATAATTACTCATGTAATTAATGATATTAAACCATATCATGCAGTTATTTTTCTAGGAAATAACATGTATCAAAACATTCTTACTCTGATCAGGGGGGACCATTTTAGCAGAAATGAAGTTTCCCTGAGAAGTTCTTCTCAATAAGCGTGCCCGAGCACTGCTGACTTTTCTAACCCCTGCAGCATCAGCAGGAGGATTTGGAATGGAAATGGAAGAATCTTCATCTTCTGAAAAAGTGACTAGTATTGGTTTCTGTGACAAAGATAAAGATAACATTTTAATTAAAGCACAGATAACTTAATTTCCATACTAGCAAAAATTTTAATAAATAGAAAACCAAATCATTTATAGAAAGGCTTGAGTTCAGAATAGAACAGGTAAAAGTTACATAGGTTTGCTCATTAAAAAACTTTCATTTTCAGATCCAGAATCTAATATCATTCCACTGAACAAGCGAGACATTTCTAACATTATCACCACAGAAAGCCACTTCTGTCCAGGTAGCCAGGGATGATGTTAGGAAATCCAAAGCCCCTGATAGAATTAAATATGACCAGAGATGTCAGAGGCAACAAAAAGAAGTTTTTACAGGTATGTCGGTGATAAAAGGAAGATGAGGAAAAATGTGGAGCCTCTCTGGAAGGAAAGGGGAGATATGGTCACCCAGGATATGGAGAAAGCTGAAGTACTCGGTGACTTGTTTCGCCTCCATCTTCACTGTCAGGGGCTCCAGCCACGCTGTCCAAGACACAGAAGGCAAAGGCGGGGACTGGTGGAAACGAGAACTGCCCACTGTAGGAGATCATCAGGTTTGAGACCATCTAAGGAACCTGAAGGTGCACAAGTCCATAGGACCAGATGAGATGCATCTGCAGGTCCTGAGGCAACTGGTGGATGAAGCGGCTAAGTCACTATCCATCATATTTGAGAAGTCATGGCAGTCCAATGAAGTTCCTGCTGACTGGTAAAGGGGAAACATAACCCCCATTTTTAAAAAGGGAAATAAAGAAAATCTGGGGAACTACCGGCCATAATATAACATACATAAATGTATGTTCTTTTTTTCTTCCCCTAACGAGTCTGCCTTTTGCTCGTGACCATAAAGGGGGGATTTTTCCCCATCCCAGTCCTATCTCAGACCCCAAGCCTGGCTCTCTGTCCCTTCTCATCGCTGGAGGGGAAGGGAGAGAGAGCTGCTGCGTTGTGGTTGGCTGCCAATCAGGCCCAAACCACGACACAGTCTCACCTCTGTGCCCAGCAAGATCATGGAGTGGATCCTCCTGGAAACTATGCAAGGGCACATGGAAAATAAGGAGGTTGTTAGTGACAGCCAGCAGGGCTTCACTAAGGGCAAATTGTGCCTGACAAATTGGGTGGCCTGCGATAGGGTTACAGCACTGGTGGACAAAAGAGCAACTGACATCATCTACCTGGAATTGTGCAAGTCTTTTGACACTGTCCTGCATGACATCCTTGTTTCTAAATTGGAGAGACATGGATTTGATGGACGGAGCACTCAGTGGATAAGGAATGGGCTGGATGGTTGCACTCAAGTTGTGGTCAACGGTTCAGTGTCCAAGCAGAGGGCAGTGATGAGGGGCATTCCTCAGGGGTTGGTGTTGGGACCAGTGCTGTTTAAGATCTTTGTCGATGCCGTGGACAGTGGGATTGAATGCACTCTCAGCAAGTTTGCTGATGACACCAAGCTGTGTGGTGCGGTGACACGCAGGAGGGCAGGGATGCCATCCAGGGGGGCCTGGACAGGCTGGAGAAGTGGGCCGGTGTAAACCTCATGGGGTTCAACAAGGCCAAGGGCAAGGTCCTGCAGATGGGTCGGGGCAATTCCATGCACAAATACAGGTTGCACCAAGAGTGGATTGAGAGCAGCCCTGCAGAGAAGGACTTGGGGGTAGCAGTGGATGGAAAACTGACTATGAGCCAGCAATGTGTGCTCACAGCCCAGAAAACCAACCGCATCCTTCGCTGCATCAAGAGCAGTGTGGCCAGCAGGTCAAGGGAGGGGATTCTCCCCCTCTACTCTGCTCTCCTGAGACCTCACCTGGAGTCCTGTGTCCAGCTCTGGGGCCCCCAATACAAGAAAGTCATGGACCCATTAGTGTGAGTCCAAAGGAGGATCATAATGGTATCAGGGAGCTGGAGCTCCTCCCTTATGAGGGCAGGGTGACAGAGCTGGTGTTGTTCAGCCTGGAGAAGAGAATGCTCCGGGGAGACCTTACGGTGGCCTTCAGTACTTAAAGGTGGCCGATGGGAAAGGTGGGGAGGGACTCTTTATCAGGGAGTGTAGGGACAGGATGAAGGGTAACAGTTTTAAACTGACCGAGGGTAGATTTAGATTAGATGTAAGGAAGAAATTCTTCAGTGTGAGGGTAGTGAGGCACTAGCACAGGGTGCCCAGAGCAGCTGTGGCTGCCCCCTCCCTGGAAGGGTTCAGTGCCAGGTTGGACGGGGCTTTGAGCATCCTGGTCAAGTGGAAGGTGTCCCTGCCCATGGCAGGGGGGTTGGAACTAGATGACCTTTAAAGTCCCTTCCAATCCAAACCATTCTATGTTTCTATGATTTAAAAGCAAACATTCAGGGGTGCAGAAAACAAACAAAAACTAGTCTGAGTAGAGGAAATGAAACTCAGAATTCTTTATTTCCCCCATAAATACTCATTTATCATCTGCAGTATGCTTATTTGTCAAAAAAAAAAAAAAAAATGTTGTGCCAAAGACTCACATTAACAATTCTAGAGGCATATCTGTTCTTTATGATTTGTTTTTGAGCACTAAAGTAGTGTTTCCAAAACACTTCAGATGTGTTCAAATCGTATGTACCACTTCCTATCTTACTGAGACAAATCATGCAGATCCAGAAACATGCAAGTTCTAATTTTATTTATGTCAGTATCTTGCATCTTAGAGGATGTGACAAATTCCCTATGCCTCTGGTACAAAACCCTGGTTGGGCCCTACATAAACACATTGTCCTCTGTGATCAAGGTACTCTAATTTCCTTACAATAAAGAATCCATTAGTAAGTCTCCAGTCCTCTCCTTCAGAGCTCTCCCCAGTATTAGCTGAAAGAGCCAACAGGCAATACCCACTCACCACAGCCACTGTGACTGACATAAGCTCTGCATTTACAGTGTACTAACTTACCTCCATTAGTAAAGCAGAAAAGGCAGTTTTTGCATTGGTCTTACCAGTATTTTTCTCTATTTTTTTTTCACTCTCACACAGAAGACCAATGAAAATTTAACACCCGTATTTAAATCCAACTGTAGATATATTTAATCTAAATACGAGTATGGTCAGAATTTTAAAATTTGATTCATATAAATACATTACCTTACCAAAACTACTGAAGTATATAACATTTCTTGGAATTTTTTTCCCCTAATTTCCTCAAAAATGCTACATCTAGATTACTGTCTTGAAGAAACAATATATACACAAGCATACTTAAATGTTTTAGCATGGTCTGTTCTCTCAGGTACTAAACAAATGATCACAACAATCTTATATCTAAAGATTAAATAAAAAAAAATGGAAGAGCAGATATACTTACAAATTGAAAACAATCCAAAATTTTTAGTTCTTACAAGTACCTCTATCTGGTTTTTAAATAAGCTAAAATCATTGCATTTTACAGATATGCAAGTCAAATAGAAAGCACAGTCAACCTAGTTACATTGAAATTACTGATAGCAGAACCACAGAACAGTTGAGGTTCGAAGGGACCTCTGGAGGTCATCCTGCCCAAGCCCCGTGCTCAAGGAGGGCCACCTAGAGCCAGTTGCCAAGGACCATGTCTAGGAAGCTTTCGAAGATCTTTGGGCAACCTGTGCCGGGACTCCATCACCCTCACAGTGGAAAAAGTGTTTTCTGAACTTCAGAGGAACCTCCTGTGTTTCAGTTTGCGCCCACTGCCTCTTGTTCTGTCACTAAAAGCCTGGCCCCATCCTCTTTGCACTCTCCCTGCAGGTATTTATACACATGGATAAGATCCCCTCTGAGCCTTCTCTTATCCAGGCTGAATGGTCCCAGCTCTCTCAGCCTTGCTCCAGTTCCTTCATAATCTTTGTGGCCCTTCACTGGACTCTCTCCAGTTGTTCCGTGTCTCTCTTATACTGGGGAGCCCAGAATTGGACCCAGTACTCCAGGTACAGCCTTACCAGTGCTGAGTAGGGGGGAAGGATCACTTCATTCAACCTGCTGGCAACACTCCTGGCAACGCAGCCCAAGATACCACTAGCTGCCTTCTGTCTTGGTTTGGGCTGAAATAGAGTTAATATTCCTTTTCAGGGACTAGATGAGTGCTGTGTTTTGGATTAAGCTTTGGGTTTGGTATGAGAAGAATGCTGATAGCACACTGATGTTTTCAGCTGCTGCCGAGACTTCAAGGACTCTCCGACTCCCCATGTCCTGCCCGTGCGCAAGGGCACAGGGAGCAGGGAGGGAGCACGGCCACAGCACCTGACCCTAACTGGCCAGTGAAATATTCCATATCACGGCACGTCATGCTCACTATATAAAGGAGGGATGGTTGGGAAGGAGCTCTCTCTCTCTCTCTCGCTTCCGGGATTGCGATTGTGGGATCTTGGTATCTCGGGGTCGCTGGCCGGGAACGGGCTGGGTGTTGGTCAGCAGGTGGTGAGCAATTACGTTGTGCATTGCCTGTTTATATATTTCTTTTTGTTTTCCCCCTATCATCGTTATTGTTCTCATTTTATTGGCATTATTAAACTGTTCTTATCTCAGCCCGCGAGTCTCCCTTCACCCCTCTAATCCCTCCCCCATTCCCAGGTGGGGAGGGGGAAGGGAGGGTGACCACCTGCGGGGGTTGGTTGCTGATCAGGCCCAAACCACAACAGTTTTTGGCACCCAACGTGGGGCATGAAGGATTGAGATAACAACAGGTTGATTTGTGTGCTCTTCTGAATTTGTTAAAATGTCGACTGCTCATCCTGCTATAATGTCAATCGAATGGTTCCTGGAATCGTGGTCTTCCTTGTTACAGTTGTGTTATACGTCACCTTACTTGCCATATATATTCCCCATGCTGCTGCTTATCACCCATGGGAGTTGGATTCAGATTGTTGCTTTGCTGTACTATGTAATACTGATTTATGGCACAATAAGGTTGTCAGTCCTGAGATTAGTCTGGTATCTGTACTCAGCATGGTCATCATCTGTGCACGTGGGAGGTCAGCTAGTGGAATGGGTTAACAATTACACTCTCTCCCGTTT